CTCAACTAGTCTAACTTCTACAGTGTTGTCGAGTCTAAAGTACAATGTTGTCAGATCATGAGTGTTCGGTACGTCGGAAAATCATCGAAGGGACTATGGTCATGAACGGATTCTCTTCTGTCCGTTCGCTGTAAAGTAGACGTATTAGAAAGGAGTCTTGTGTTCTAGTCCCGATGGACTTATTAGTTTTTTTTTCGCGTACAAAAAAGTTCTTGCGCTTAATATTGTTTTTATGAATATGCGACGAATGTCGCGGCGGGACGGAGGAAGGAGGCCAGCTCAGTCGGCTGCCAGGGGTCGAACAAATGAGACGAGTGCAGTCTGGGCAACCAGCCGGTTTATTTGGCTTCGGGGGTTTAAAAAAGTCGGGGGTCCTTAGACTCTACTCTTAGTGGCTAGCGGCGGTGTGAACGCGGCGGTAGTCGGCGGTTCGGCGGTAGTCGGTGGGCGCGGCGGTGCCCTCGATTGGCGGCGCGGCGGTCGGAACGCGGCGGTAGCCGGACGGCGGCTCGGCGGTAGTCGGTTGGCGCGGCGGTTCAGGCGGCGTGGTGGAGGAGAGGTTTGCCCTCGATCGTGGGACGGCCAGGGGCCGTTCCGTCGGTCGGGTGGAGGAGACCCGTGGTGTCCCCGCCCCCTTAGGGGATGGCCCGAGCAGTGGGTTTGACCCGACACTGTCGGAGGGCCTCTGGGTTAAAGGCTCCCTGCATACACTGGGACAGCGCCCCAGTGAGTGAGTACCTTGGAGGATCCAAAAAGCAGAGAGCTCGATTGCGGTCGGTGTGTGTGCTGGTACGCAGGGAGTCGAGATCTGCCTCGACTGTGCCTCGCGCCGCGGTATTAGTAGCCGCGAGGCACAATCTTATCGGCGAGAACCGCGAGGCGCGCGTAGCCATCTCGCGGCCGCGACGGTAGTTGTCACGCGGTGCCTCGCTGGCGTCGCGCGGGGACGACGTAACGAGTTACTCGTTACAAATATGTATATATGTTATTATGTACATTTGAGTAAATTATTTTATTATTCCATTGTTATTACAACAGTTTAACAGTGACAACGATCGCATGTATATTTTCAAATATCGGACTAACAGTATATTTTTATTCTATATTATTCCATATAAGTGAGTAATACGTATCAAAAACGTAATCGAAACACAGATTTTTATTACATTACAAACA